CAGATCGCTTATCGGGAGATGCTGACCGTATCCGGCGGCGTGTTCCAGAGGCAGGAGGGATATAGTCCTCGTTATCAGGGTCGTCCAGTCTGAACTTCGGGGTTTCGTAAAGAGCCCTTTCACCTGAAGATATTCCTGCCAGGAAGGAGGGAGTCAAGGAGCCAGTCCCGGCATTGTGAACCTGACGGAAGAAGCTGGGCGTCTTGTTTTGGATAGCCCTAGCGAGGGGAGGAGTAGTGGACCAAGAGTTGGCCTCAACTGTGGTGGCAGTCGAGTTGTCCTTGGAGGGGGGGATGGAGGACTCAGGGACTACAGCCTGGGAATCTTTGGGAGGGGAAGGTATAGGAGCTGGAGAATATTCCGAGCCATAGTCTGAGTTGAACTGAACGAAGAGTCCTGTGGTAGTATCCTTGTTCAAGCCACATGTGGCTGAACAGCCTCTCCTGATTAGGAAACCTCTTACTAAAACCTCCACTTCTTTAATCGTGGTAAGGGTCGCATCAGCGACCGTTTGCCGAACCAAATCATCAAACTGCAGGTTCACCGCATTCTGATACCCGTGACAGAGGTGAAACTGTAAGAAATTAAAGTTTCCTTTGGGTGCAACATATGACCGTGTAGTTGTGGGGATAAGGCCACGGCCAGTCTCAGTAGCAGGTGTAAGAGACAAGGCCGCATGAGCTGTCTCAAGCGAGGAGGAGGAGTGGAGTCGAACCGAATGGAGGACGACATCCTCGAAGGGGGGGGAGAATCCGTGGAGGAGGAGGCTGTCGAAGACGCCATCCTCACCCAAACTATACTCAGTGATTACCGGGACCAGGCCACGGATATCTCATACTAAAGTATCTTCTAAGAAAGAACAACTACTTCTAACCCACCGCCCGAAACGAAAAATGCAAACAAGTAACAGTAGATGAAGTATTTATCGTAAGCGAGATAAGGTAAAGTATTGGTTATGCTTACTTCCGACACGCAGTGCAAGAAGTAGGAAAAGTACTTAGAACAAAGTGTGAAGAACCTATCCTCCTCAGCCGCATCGGCCTCCTTATATAGTATTCTTCCCGCCCATATTCATGTGACCCAAAGTGGTCACATGTGCGAAACCAAATCATAACAAACTAGTCATGTGACCAAAGTGGTCACATGTTCAAAACCCATGACCTCGTAGTGAGGTCATGTGTAAAAACTCATAAACCAATCATAATGCAATAAACAAGTCATATGACTTGACTGAGTCATATGCGTAAAACCCATGACCTCATAATGAGGTCATGTGTGAAACATAAATCATATACGCAAGGCTTGCCCGCAAGGCACACTCACAAGGCATACTTGCTAGGCGCACGTCCCATAACTCATATTTGAGCCATGTGCGAAAGCATCACAAATCCTACACATAACAAATCATATGACTCGAATAGGTCATATGTGTGAAACAATAACATACCTGTGACTCATAACCATGTGTCATGTGAAACCCTTTGTCATACTAAGCTACATTCGTGACAAACGGAGTAAATCCGTCAACTACTCAGAAGGTTACTAGGCTTCAAAAATATAATACCTTTGGTATGGACCGTAAGTAACAGGACCTTTTCACATAAAGAGACGGTATTGAATAGCAAAGGATCTCAATAAGAGACTAATACATTCACATTCATCCTACAATATCTGAAAGAATCTAAAACTCCAAGGGATACTACTATAGAAGCCATTGGACTTCACTGAGTGTTGCAACTCTAGGTTTCGGAACATGTTTAGTTACGGGAATAACTTCCAATACTATAACAGTGATTGAAACCCTGTTACCCAGAGCAACCAAGGGTTGCCGACTGAGTATATATCTGTCAATCCAGTAGAATAGCTTTTTGCGAATTAGTAGGAAGTCCTCTGGAAGACATATATTGGTTGAGTAAGGAGTTATGGGAATTTAAAGTCAGGCGACCTGAAAAAAGATTGCAATTATGACTACCTTTGCAGATGCAACCCGCAAATGAAACTGATTATTTTATCAATGACAGAGACCATTGGAGCCTACTCAGTTTGACTTGAGAACTAGACTACAAGTCTAAAGACTCTAAGGATCGGATAACTACTATTGGGAACAGTATGGTTCCGAGTTAGTTATATTAGAATTGCCAAAGAGGGTGTGGTGATTTTCAGGGTCTCCAGGTGTTCACACCTTTCAAAAATATCCGACATTGTGAGTTATAATCAAAAAGGTACACAGTTATATGATAAATAGATGTAGTCCGTAAATACTCTGAGGCAGAATACGAATATTGAAGTGCCTCCCAAGCTTTAGATATCATCAAGCAACGGAGAAAAGACCTTAACAATATAATATTGTTTTACAATTCTATTTTACTTTACTGAATGTACTTCGCTCTTAGTAGTCATAAATGAAACAAGCGAACTTGAGCCTTCGTAGACAATCTCCATCTACAGAAACAAATCTTGATGGCCTAAACAATTCTGAAGTCTATCAGATTGTCTCTGTCTAACAATTTCAGACACTAATTACTCTTCATCTGAGCTGAATTGATTATGAGAATTCTCATGATCGGAGTCTTCTGCTGACTCAATTGATGAGAGAGGTACATCAGACATTGCTACAAATATCTAGTAGCATTTCTTGAGGCTTGCTATTTACTCTATTAGTATATAAGACAGAAGACAATCAATATGAATTCATGGGATCCTACAGCTAAACTGTTGTGAAAATTTAGAAAAAAATGATGGTGATAAGAAAGATATACTTATTTAATAAGTTTAAAGTGTTCAATGACTGATACAGTAGCAATTGAACTGCCTAAAGGTAGCTTTTTCAAACTCAATATCTTGAGACCAATGATATTACATAAGCAAGACATCAATGTTACAAAATGGTCATTCAACTTTAAAATATAATAGCTCAACAACCAGTTATCTATTTTATATAATTTTTAATTCTATGAATGCACAGGAAGCTAAAGATATTTTAGATGGTAAAAAGTGGATTTGAGAAACTTTTACTATTTTGGACATAAAACATGCTATAGAGGTCATCTGGACTTCTAAAATATTTTCTGAGCTACTGTACACCTACTTTACATGACTAGCTAGGTGGTTAGGCAAAAAAAAAATGTTTTGTGGTTGAGGCCCGATAATCAGGTTTTAACTTATACATACTCATTTAATCATATCTGCTATCATAAGAACTACTGGTAAGCTTCTAGTGTGCCCGTGTCAAAACTCTATCGACTGTAACGTCTCCCTACCTAACTAAAAGAAAAAAAAGAGGGCGGACCGAATGCCTTTGAATCTATCGCTATACGGGTGCACCTCAGCCGATCGCCTCTCACCCTCAAGGTATCCTCTACGGCTTGACCGTACCCCTAGAGTTCTCTCCTATACATTATGAATATTTCTCTCGTTTTTTCGGCCGTTGCCCATCTTACCCCCTTCACTATTTCCATGAAAATCAGTAATACATTTTTGGCGGTAACTTCATCTCAATCATGAGTTCCCCATTGCAGCTTTTTTTCTTGGTTCATCCCACCACCACTTCTATCTTACCCCGCTGGCTACTGCCTCTAGGATGTCTTCTCCCTACCAAATTCATGGCGAGTTGTGCTAATTATTGTACTGTGAGAAAGGATGGTGAAGTGGCATACTTCTAGTATAAAAGACGCATCAGATCAAAACTTTTGAGCTAATAAGGTATCTCTCTGATCATGTAAAATTATCGGAAAGGGATAAGAGTAAGTAACATTACATGGCTACCCCTAGTGTACTACATGTTAGCTTTCTAGCACATTTCAGTCACCAAATTCACGACATTTGGAGGCGCCATAACTTCGCTTGCGCGGAAGTGTTAGAAGTGCAAGAACTACTGTGGGTTATCCATAAATCGAGTGATAATATATGAATATTCGTCTTATGAACGCTGTTGGTAACTGGTTGTCGTTGGAAATTCGATATCCAAGTCCTACCGATGCTACTCGAGCAGTACTGGCGATAGGTCCTTGATATATTACGCACGGTGTCGCACGAAGAACGTGTTATCTGCTTTCATGTCTTGATTCCTCGAAAATGAGTAAAGCTGCTCACGGAATTTCTTCCACAAAAAAACTTGTTAACTAAGGAGAGGGACTACCACGAGATACAGGAACAAAATCGCCCAGCCTTACCCAACTATCCCAACGTGGGCCTAGGCTATGTCTTGAGGATATTATGGCACTTAGGGAGCGCCGTCTCAGTGCGGCGGATTGGGAGTCTTGCGTTACGGATTGCGATTCACAGGGGATCTGATAAGTCCTGATTAATATCTTAAACTCTCCTGATCATCTATCCGGTGTCCTAAGGACTGGAGAACCCTCGTCACCAGACCCGCACGTCGGAGTATCATAATAATATATACGAAATTTACACTAGTCGCTGAGTGTCAACGACCGAGCTCCAACTGACCGAAAACTAACCCTAGGTTTCGAGATTAGGGATACAGTGAGATAGAGAAGCCCTAATCGAGGGGTGCGGTGAAATATTCCCTTTGTAAGACCGAGTGTTTTCTATGGGACCAAGTGTCTCTGATACAGGTGATCTGAGAGTGGTGATAGGGTACATGCACAGTACAGTACCGGTGCAGTACCGCACATCGTACATCTGATACTAGCCACTGCTCTGAGAGCGTGAAGTGTATGGTGCTGATCGCAGGGCGAGAACTGGGAGGTCCTGGTTGTGAGAGAGTGCCCCGGCATCCTACAGCACCCTGCAGCACCCGTCGGGCTGGGGAAGGGAGAGATAAAACATGGGAAGGGAGAGGCTTCCGCCACATGGACCAACCGGCCCATCGTCCAATGTCGCAGCGCGCGCCACCGTACCCCATCCAATACCGGTACCGCACTCGAGTGCTGCGCCCAAATCGCCCCACAACATCCCTTCCCTGCAGAAAGACATCAGCAGAGAAGCACTACCGAAGCCAAATTCTTCCTCTTCCTCTACTCCCTCCCCGATCTTTTCTGCCGCCCACAGCAAGCGAGCTTCCTTTTCTTTACTCAGTCTTCCCTTCCTCCCCCCCCTTCCCCTCTTCCTTAACGTTTGGTCCCTTTATCGTTCTCCATTTACGCTCCCTCCTTTGCTGCCCCCTTCCCTTCTTCTGGTCTGGTTGGTGGTTTTCGCACTGTACTGTACTCGTACGGCACTTGGTGGGGCGGTCTGCCTTCAATTTTATTTCCCCCTCCCTCTTTCCGGCCCTAATTTTTGTTCCTCTTCTCGATTTGTTGGAGTTGGTCGTTTCTTCCCAATTTCTTTTTTTCCATTAAATTTTGAGCACGCTTTTATTCCCTAGGTTTAAGGGGCGGTTGCTGCCCCGCGTGCAGCTTCAATCCTGTGCTGATCCGCGCAACTGTTGGCTGTCGCTCCTTTCAACGTCCCTCGCTTTTTCCTTCTTTCCCTTAATTAGCCCGATTACACACGCACGCAACCTTATTCTCGTCGTCACACTCCCTATATCCCTGGAGCGAACCCGACGAGTATCCACGGGATACCATCGTCATTCTGTCTGACTTCTGCGGCGGTTCAGGGAAACCCTAACTTCTACAAAGGGGAGCGGAGCTTCGGTTGCTACAGGGTGGACAACCCGTAACACATCTGATCCAAGACACCACCATAACCACCATCCATCTCAACTACGGTCATGGACAATCGGCGTCAATCAGCTGGAGGAAGGGGTGGAGGGGGAGGAGATCGTAACAACTTCTCTGGAAGCAATGCTAATTATACTGGAGGTCCAGGAGGGAATCTTGCCGCACTGGATTGGGTTGTCGGTCTTCGGTAACTCGTCAACCTTTCCGCTCTTCGTACCTAGCTAACAAACCATGCCACAGTATCCGTGTTGTCACGATAATCGATGATACCTATGAAGGGACTATCTACTCTTACGATCCCTTGACCTCAACTCTTGCGTTGATACAGTCGCCTGCTCACCCTCCCCCTACCCCGGTGAATGAGAATGCGAATGTTGCACAATCGTATTCTCCTCAGGACTATCGCATCCTCAAAATCTCGTTCCTCAAAGAAGTTGCGGTCCTTTCAGCGCCAAAACAGCGCTCGGTTGCACAACCGTTCACTAACGCCGAGCCCAAAATCGGAACTGTCGATATTGCGGCAGTGGCTGCTCGAGAAAAGGACGCAGCCAGAGTGGAAGCTGAAAGAATTGCAAATAAAGGAGTCGGTGTTACTAAGGAAGCGCAAGACATTTACGATGCGTTGGCTAGAACGTACGTATTACCGCCTCAATCCCCAGCGCCGCCGTATCGTGGGGTGAGGTTATGTTAACCCTTTCACGGTATGGTATAGAATGAAATGTAGGTGGCACGATAAACAAATCATCGTTTACAATGACGTTATTATCGACGAGCCGTATACTGTGGATCGCGTTAAATCGAAGGATCAAAATGCCTTGATTCATGTTAAGAAAGTGGTATGTGTTTGAAGCTCGGGCCCATTTATATATGTTCAGAGTCGGGTCTGACTGGAATAGCTCGAGGGGGAACGCCGTAAACTAGAGACGCAGCGGAGGGCTGCCACGCCTATCTCGGGAGAGAGGAAGGGCGGATAAGATAGGGCACGATGCATGAGTAATAAAGTACGATAATTTAATAGTAAATTCCCTTTTTCCGGACTTTATTTCAGCGGTGCAATGGGATATCGGATATTGGGGGAAAGGAGTTCTATTTGAGGGGTACAAAAAAGCATTCAAACATGGGAGAGAGGTTGTCGGAGGAGCGGGAAAGCATTGTATTTTTCCTCTTTACGAGAAATAACTCGACGTCTATGAGCGTATCATACATAGGAGGAAATCTCATCACTTAGGCTCGACCATCATTGCGGGCAAGGCTACGGTTTGGGGCGGGCCAGACGTTCGAACGGTAAACTAAGTTAAACATAAAGACTTAGTGTGGAACCAAGTTGAGCCTCAAGCAGCCCACCATCAAAGGTCACCCGCGAACTCCCTTGCTGTCCGGGTAACCCTTACCGGCAGGACCCTTGCTTTTTCTTTTCTTTTTTTCCGGTTACCTGGCGAACTGATCACTGCCCCACAAAAAGTTTATCTGCCCCGCGACAATCATAATATACCCGTAATACAGAAAAAGAAACCTCCAGGAAAAAACACCCTCGGCGAACCTTTCTCATACCGCTGTCATACAAAAACGCTGACCGCGCGCTCACACAATGGCGACAACAATATCAACCCCAGCGCCCACAGACCTGAACACAACCATGCTCCTCCTCGCCTCAGCAGACCACAACACATCCGTCCTAACCTCCCTGTTAAAAACCTCATCCCCGAATGTCCAGGATCCGGATAGCAAGCGGACGCCCCTGCACGCTGCCATTGCAGGATGCGACAAAGACGATCCTCCGGAGAAATTGAGGGCGGCAGAGGATACGCTTAAACTGCTCTTGCAGAATGGGGCCATTTGGAATGACTTGGATAGGGATGGGGAGACACCAGGGTGTGTTGCGTATAGGCTTGGGTTGAAGGGGCTGTATGAGGTTATGGTTGAGGCGGGGGTTAGGGCTGAACTGATACTGGCGAGGCTAGGGGGGTGGGAGGAGATTGAGGATGAGGACGACGAGGATGGCGGGGGCGAAGCGGCAGAGGGGGCGGAAAGGGCTGAAGGGGGAGGAAATGGAATTGGGGTTGCGGTAGAGGTAGTATCGGAGGAGAAAGACGTCAACTCGGAAAACTACCTAAAGTCGGAATTGAAATATCATGAAGACAAACTCCTTGACTCGGACAATAACAGTGTAATGATGGAGTGGGAGAGAGATATCATGGAGCGAAGTGTCGAGGCATTGCTCCCCGGCGACAAACCAGGAAGAAGTATTATGAACATTGGTTTCGGAATGGGCATATTCGACACAATAGCCCAGAAGAAAAACGTCGCCAGACACATAATTGTGGAGCCCCACAAAGACGTCCTGAGAAAGATGAAGGAAGAAGGCTGGGACAAGAAGCCCGGAGTAATGATTCTAGAGGGCCGATGGCAGGATGTTGGTTCCCCAGGCAAACACAGTCCCTCATCCCCTGCCCCGCTATCTTACTCTCAATCGGTCATTGACACGCCAAACAGGTCCTCGGCTCATTAACCCAAACAGGAGAAACCATGGACGCCATCTACTTCGACACCTTTGCAGAGGACTACTCTCAATTGAAGCTTTTCTTCTCAGAGTACGTCATCGCACTGCTCGCCCAGGAAGGTGGACGCTTTAGTTTCTTCCACGGACTCGGAGCTGACAGGAGGATTTCTTACGATGTTTACACTAGAGTTGTGGAAATGGATCTGTTCGGCGCTGGGCTCGAGACCACTTGGGAGGCTTTTGAACTGGGCGAAAGTGAAAGGCGGAAGGACCAGGCCTGGGAAGGCGTAAGGAGGAAGTATTGGACCCTGGGAGAATACAAGTTGCCCATTTGTATGTTTATGGAATAGAAATTACCTTTACGACTCCTTGTACCTCTCGTGAAAGCGGATCTGCATTATGGGGCGGCATTACATATTTGCTGTCTCCCCATTTCACCTTCATAATATCATGCGTGATACCGATAACGTAAACCTGCCCCCCCAAAGCCTCCGAGGCTCGGCACACCGTGGGTGTTCATAGGACGAAAAAGTATTGTGAAAAATCCGGGTATTGCTAAATAGAGCTGAAAAATGAAAGTATAAAAGAACGGTCGCCATTTGCCGTGATGTTGAATCCTGCATGGTGCCGCGGGTTATTATGTCTTGCGAACTTTGTGACCTTTTTTGCGGTTGCCAAGATGATAAGCGTGCAGGGATTAATGATTGATCCCGAGGATGGGTGAAGAGACTTTTTTTTTTCTTTCCCACTATTGGATCAGGGTCCTTACTCCAATACTGGAGGTATGCCGGTGACTCTGGCCGGGGGGGTTCGAGATTTCGTTTTGGAAATTGTGAGGGGTCATGGATGGGGGGGGGATTTTTGGGTGTCCCTGGTTGGGTTCAACTTTCGTCATTTAGACTATATAATACAACAGATCTCCGCCATATCTGCTGTGGGGCAGACAGACGTGCTGTGGTGATGATGTCGAAGGCTTGAAGCAAGCGAGGAATTGATGCATGGTTAAAGTAAAGTTAACTTGTAGGACGTTGCGCGAGCGGTGCAAATTATCAATTGAAAAGGGTACCCAGCGTAACTTTGTGTGCCGGCTGGTCGCACCCTGGACACTCATTGCTGGAGGGAGGGAAAGGAAGGGCACATCCATCTCACAACTAACCCTCCCCCGTCACTGGACCACTATCCCACCATCGCCCCCTTCCTTCCTTGCATTTTTTTTCTTTCCCTCTGTCGGATGATAAAGATTGGACTACTGTAACCGGTAATTTAGTCTTGGTGCAAAGATAAAATCCCCCACCCTCCCTTCAACCACTCTCCTCTTTCCTCCTTCCTCCTTCCAACCACACAACAGAACTAAACGGCAAGATCGTTTTGGTCACTTCATTAACCTCTTTTTTCAATAAACACCCTTTTCAAACTTTAGGCCTTGACAATTCCCTTTTTATCGAAAGGGACTTCTCGCTTGTCGGAGGCATTGAAAGGTTGCCCGTATGCGATTGTTTCCTTCCGAATTCACTTCACAGGTATGTTTTCTTCTCTTTATTGTATTGTCATTACTATCTGCAGTCTTGCGCTGGTCATTTGTCTGCTCCCGCTTTGGCATGCTATATCTCTTGTTGGTTCAACTTGAGTTGGCCTTGTTTGCGTTTGTTTGCACGCTAGAATTTTTCACGCACACCTGCTCTATCTCAGCACGAGTTCCCCCCCCACCTCTTTCTTGCTACCCTTAAATTCTTTATCCTTCCTCCAGAATTGGTTCTGTTCACTCCTTTTTCTTATGCATATTATTGCGCCGTACCCTGAATTGACTGGCTGGCTTGCTGACCGGTTTAAAGGACTACATCTCAGGTACGCAGCGTGCTTGTCGACCCCAAATCCGATCCGGGGATGGAGGGAAGAGGGCTTACACTGCTGAGAGCTGATACTAATATCGGTGGTAGATCACGTCTGGAAAAATTCATCATTCTAAACCGGTATCCTCCGCCATTGGATATCAAAAAATCAATTGCAAAAATCAATTACATTTATACCCTACCCGGACATCAATCTTTTCCAGACGATGTTTGCTCGCCAGATCTTGGCAAAGGGCTTCAAGCCTTCTGCTGCGGCTGCCCGCCTTAGCTTCAGAAATGTGAGGGGTTTAGCTACCATCACCGGTAGTACTGGTAGACAAATGCCGCAGCCCACAAGGGAAAGGAGCACTCCAGTCAGTCATGATCGCGCAACCTTCACTATTAGGGTATTATCACCTCCCCCGCTATCTGCATATAATATTTCGGTCCTGATGGATTGTAGAACGGTCCTATCTTTCATGGCAAGTCGTTCGGAGCTCGTTCCAACATTTCCGGAGAAGCTGTTTTCTCCACCGCCCTAGTCGGATATCCCGAATCCATGACAGACCCATCCTACCGTGGGCAGATTCTCGTCTTCACTCAGCCGCTTATCGGAAATTATGGCGTCCCCTCTGCTGATAGGGATGAGCACGGGTTATTGAAGTATTTTGAATCTCCCAACATTCAGGCTATCGGAATTGTGGTTGCCGATGCCGCGCTCAAGTACTCGCATTGGACTGCTGTTGAGTCGTTGGGTGATTGGTGTGCCCGTGAGGGTGTTCCCGCCATCACCGGTGTTGACACCAGAGCGATTGTTACCTACCTCCGAGAGCAGGGTTCCTCGTTGGCTAGGATCACCATTGGCGAGGAGTACGACGCTGACCAGGACGAGGCTTTTACCGATCCTGAACAGATCAATTTGGTCGAGAAGGTGTCTACCAAGGCTCCGTTCCATGTTTCGAGTAACAATGGTGACTTGCACGTTGCTGTTATCGACTGTGGTGTCAAGGAGAATATCTTGAGGAGTTTGGTCGGCAGGGGTGCAAGTGTTACTTGCTTCCCATGGGATTACCCAATTCACAAATACGCTCACCACTTTGACGGCGTTTTCATGTCTGTTTCCCCCTCTTCCTGCTTTCTCTGGAGATCATCCGCTGATGAGACATTAGCTCCAATGGACCCGGTGACCCGACCCATTGCCAGAAGACCGTCTACCATCTTGGCAAGTTGATGGAGAAGTACAATGGCCCTATCATGGGTATCTGCCTTGGACATCAGTTGCTCGCCCTAGCTGCTGGTGCAAAAACAATTAAGTTGAAGTACGGCAACCGTGCGCACAATATTCCCGCCTTGGATCTCACTGCTGGAAGATGCCACATCACCTCGCAAAATCACGGTTATGCAGTCGATATCAAGACTCTTCCCTCCTCTGACTGGAAGGAATACTTTGTCAACTTGAATGATGGATCCAACGAAGGCATGATCCACACCTCCCGCCCTATCATGTCCACTCAGTTCCACCCCGAGGCTAAGGGTGGCCCATTGGACTCTAGCTTTCTCTTCGACTCTTATCTCCAGCAGGTTGCCGACTACAAGGCTGAGCAAGCTCGTTTTGAACCTTCCAGGAGTGGACGTCCCAATACCTTGTTGGTCGATCTTCTGAGCAAGCAGCGTGTTGGTGTAGTTCCTGAGAACGTGTTAGCTAGCCTCAGCAGGAGGGTAGGGGCTTCTAGGAGTGAGTTTGCTAATAAGAGCGAGGCCACTCCGGCTGCCTCGGCTGCTTGAGCATTCTCTGGCGGTAGTTTCTCTTTTTCCCTCCCGATATCCTGATCGGTTGCCCATCTGGGCTCTGGTTGGGATGTTTATTTTATGTAGTGGGTGGTATTGATGTGTTTTTTTTTTTTTTTTTTGTAATATAGGATGTGGGATTGGGCGCAGGCGAGTTGAATTGAATGAACTTTTCCGTTTTTTGAGGATCATACACACGCTGAGCGACATATGTGCTGTACGCGTATGATAACGTATGATACTTACCAAATACCCATTAAGTTACGACGCCTTTGAATCGTTATCATATATTTTTCCCACGAGCAAACGTATGTTGTGTGGGTTAGGGTTCGTTCTACACTGAGACAAATCTACTCTAGTTACCCTCTGAATACGGTAGCTATGATACCTGTACTTTACTCGAGTAGTAGAACTAATGACCGAATACGGACAATCCCCCGTTACTTCTTGTCACCACTCCCCAAGCTGGCCCCAATGCCCCCTACGGAGAACTTTCACCTGCTTTCTCCTTGACAAGGAATTGACAGGACACTCACGGGGGGGCGCAACTAGTGGTTTCCCTCCTTTTAGTCACAAATCCGGGAAGTAATAGGTAACAAGTTCTCCAATTGGCGCGCGAGGGTGCCCTGTAGCGGTTTGTCTCCAGCAAGTATTCATTTGAGAAGAATGCTTCTAGTTTTTTATAAAAGTCCTTATTCCTCTTTATTGGGTGATGTTTTTTCACCAAGAGGGAATCTGAATGCAATTTACTGTGAATTATGGTATGATAGAAATGCACTCTTATCGCAGGTCTGTCATGGCGGGGCTCGTTGTGCTTGAGAAACTGGAATTAATTGTTTCGTGTTTCATGCATCCCTCTTGCTATGCCCAGCACCCTAACTTTAATTCAGGTATCATAAATAGGCTACGTATTTGTGGACTACGAGTACTATTAACTTTCAGGGCCATCATACATACAAGTATGGTACCATATCGAATCCAACCTGCTACCTGTATATAGTTATTCATACTCGTACATTACCTCAATAATCAGTCATCAGCCTCGCCTCTACATCCTAAGCGAATATCCCGTCACGCTGGAGCAATCGAGCACATGTCTTGGCAATAGCAACCTAAAGGGAATCCCCTCCCAGCCTTGTTTTCTATTCTACTTACTTCCTCTGAATCTTTCTTCACCTTCCTTTCCCTACTCTATCCTCACCCTCTCTTTTCATACCTCCTAACACTCAACGCTCAACACTCAATCATCAATTCCTTAAAAAACTACAACAACCCTCCCCCCCAACGCCCCAATTTACGCGCGGAGACATGCTCGACCCTACCACGCTTTCGTCGCTCAAGGTGACGGAGTTGAAGGCCGAGTTGAAAAAGCGCGGTCTACCTGTTGGAGGATTGAAGCAGGTGCTTGTAGAAAGGCTAGCCGAGCAAGTTATTCAGGAGCGCGCGGCGGCGGAGGCAGAAGCGGCGGCACTGGCGGAGGAGGAGAGAGCAGCGGTAGACGATGCGCAGGGAGAGGAGGTGGTGAATGGAGATGGAATCGCGCCGGATCCTCAACCGGAGCCCCAGCCCGAACCAATACCGGAGGTGGTCGAGGGGGAAAAAGAGGTTGTTCCTGTTCCCCAGGCGGAACCAGAAGCGATTGTTGTCGAGGCTACGCAAGCGGTAGTTGTTGAGGGAAATGTTATAGAACCGGAGGTTATCCAGGAGGAGGCTCCAAAACCTGAAGCTCCAACTGAAGATGAACCGGCTGTGATCGAAACAGCTTCCGAACCTGCACCTGAGCCAGCGACTGAATCTGTTGCCGCTACGGAAGTTGTGGAGGGGGTGGTTTTTGAGGAGAAGGTTGTTGAGCCAGAGGTTGTTGAGAGAGCTTCGGGCCCTGAAGCTGAGCCTGCGCCCGAGCCGGTGGAAGCTGATCCGGTGGAAACTGAGCTGGCGGAAACTGAGCTGGTGAAAACTGAGCCGGTGGAAACTGGGCTGGTGGAAACTGAACCGGCGGAAACTGGGCTAGTGGAAACTGAACCGGCGGAAACTGGGCTGGTGGAAACTGAACCGGCGGAAACTAAGGTTGTTGAGAGAGTTGAAGAGGAGGAAACTGGTGAATTGGTTTTGGAGTCCGGAGCTAAATTTGAGGATGAGGTGGTAGAAGAGGCAGCTTTAAAGGAAGTGACGACCAAGACTGAGATTGCTTCGGATGAGACACCTGGGACTGGGCCAATTATTGAAAAGAAGGAAGAGATTCCCGTTGCGGGGCAGCCAATTTTGGAATTTGAGCCAGAGGCTGAAATGGAGCGAATGAAGCCGGAGGGACTTGTCATTGCTGCTGTCGAAGAGACCACCCGTGAAATGGTTAAGGATGAGGACTCAAACATGGTCGATGCATCTTCACTTTCATTGTCTCCTGAAAAGACTATAGTCCCGGAGCTGACCCCAGCCCACGATGACACTACCGCGGAATCTACTTTAAAACCCGGACCAGAGACAGAGCTTCAACAACCATCTGTCGACCTAATGGATACAAGCGAAGGGCAGACAGACATCCGTAAGCGTAAGCGTCGCTCAATAACCCCAACTCCCTCCTCCGCGCGTGTCGGCGAGCCTGAGAACCAACAATCAAATGAAGGCGCAACCTCAAAGAAACCTCGGCGTGACTCTACAGAAAACCAACCCCAGCGTACGCGTCCTAAGGACGCCCGCTTCAAAGGCCTCTTCAATGACTCCAGTAGTACTGTCACTGCAAACAATCCTCCAACTGCCTCCCACCACTACAACCAAGCAGCCGACCAAGCGATGAATCAATTAATAACTCAAATAGAGGATGAGGATGACGCTCCCATTCCACCTTCAATCCACCCGGCCACCCGAGCGCTCTACATCCGCAACTTCGCCCGTCCGCTTAGCGAGCCGGCCTTGAAGGCCCACCTCACCGCCCTCGCCTCTCCTCCTTCCTCTACTTCCGCCGTTACAACTAGCCAACCGCCAGAGCCCCCGATAGAGTACCTCTACCTCGACACCATCAAAAGTCACGCTCTAATAATTTTCACCACCCTCACTGCCGCAACCCGCGTGCGTGTTGGAATCCACACGAAGGTTTGGCCGAACGAACGTTCCAGGAAACCACTCTGGGCGGACTTTGTCCCCGAGGAGTCGGTTGCGGGATGGGTTGATAGGGAAAAGCAACGTGGCCCCGGAGCCCGCTGGGAGGTCATTTACGACCGTGAGGCCGGCGAAGGCGGGGTTCGTGCCGAGTTGGAAGAGGTTGGGGGTAGAAGAAGAATTGGCCCCGGTGGGAATACCGGAGTAGAAGTTTTGGGGGCTCCGACAGGACCGAGAGGGGAGAGGAGGGGTGTCCAGATTACAGAGAGAGAATTTGGTTCGTTGTGCTTTGCTTACCTATCCCCTTTTGCTTTTTTATTTTGCACATTCTTCTAATTTTATTTCTCCTTTTGCAGGTGCTAGATCCAACTTCTCTGCCGCAACCACCGACCCCACCATCACCAACAGCGCAACCCAGCGCACCGCTACCACTGGTGGCGGCGGAAGAATCGTGGTTAAGGACCTCGACCAACTCTTCCGCTCCACCGTCACCAAGCCGAAACTATACTGGATACCTGTGGACCCGGACATTTCCAGGGAACGCTTGGCAGCATACGAGCGCGGTCGTGGCAATACTGGTAATGCTGGGGCTGGCAGCGGTTTTAGGAGACGCCGTTGAACGTCTTCAGGCTTTTACATTCTTACCCGGTCTTGACTTTTTATTCGCATGGTAGCTACGGATTTCTTTCTTTCTCCCCTTCCCAATTGGAGAAGGGGCTGGTTTCTGACTATAAAGACGGGTTGTTCTACTCTTTGGTGCTCTTTTTTGTTGGTCTTTTCTTTTTCGTTTCTCAAAGTGGTTTGGATTTGTTTTGTTTCCCCGCTAGCCTGCTTGCTCGCGGGATCCCTTGATGGAAGGAGTTCGAAGAAAAGCTTACCTCCTAGAACAGAATGGAGTGGAACGTCTAACGAAGCTGGGAGGGAACGGGCAATGGACAATGTGGCGATTTAAAGAAAATGTGTGGGAGTGTACCAATAGTTTTTTCTTTTCTTTCTTTTCTTTTCTTCCGGGTGGTGCTTTCTTTCTTTTTCTTTCCTTTTCCTTTGCTTTTACAAGTACCTGACGGGGCGGCAGGAGTATTAAAAAAACGACAGACAGAATACATTACTCACTCGGTTGGTTGCTTTCTTTTTATATACCATAATTCCTTCATTCGCAGGTTATATCGTGGTTCCGTTCTATCCAAAAATTGGGCTGGGATTCCTTTTTTGCTCTTCCTTGCTTAAATTCCTGCGAACAAAAAAGTCTAGCTAGCATGGATGTCTGTCCACCCGTCTGTCATGAGAATGGATGGGTGGAGTAAGAGGCGAGCGAGTGGACAGAATGAAGTGAAGCATCATAAGTAGGAATAAACATGAATGGCGTGGAAGTGTGAGAAATTCTAAGTTATGTATAAATACGTGTTGTACTTCCATGACCTTTTTTTTTCTTATTCTTTTTTTTCGCTCCATAATAACAATAATATTGTTATAATAATATTATTATGTGAGGAATAGGTGCTGATGAAGGGTCAAGGGTCTAAAAGGGAGAGAGGGGAGTGAAAGATGGGATGGGGTAGTATAGGATACAAGGTCATTAAATAGCGCCTAGTTCCTTCAATCGTGAGATTAGACCATCTACTGAGTCGACCTTTCCACCACCTTGGCGTGGGGGTGGTTCTAGTGCCGTTAGCAAAGAAAGGGAAAGGGTGGGGGGCTTGGGAGGAGGGGGGACATACCGACGACCTTCAAAGTCTCCAACCTCTTCCCGAACTCCACGCTGAAGTCCGCCAGCGTCTTCTTCTCTATCGGTTTCTTCTTTGCTTTCATGATGTTCGGGAGAGTAGCGTATCGCCTATATACCACCAGGTAAAACGTTAACCTCTCACACACCCAACAGGAGATGGAAAAACCCCCACGGCTCATTAAGTCTCAAATCCGTCGTGACCACCGCAGGCAACTTCACCCTGACCACCTCCTCCCCACCATCCACCTCCTTCGTAACGACGACCTCACTACCCTGCACATCCACCTTCGCAGCCTGCGTAGCCTGCCCCCAACCCAGCAAGCCGGCAAGCATCTGTCCAGTCTGTCCAGAGTCATCGTCAATGCTCTGCTTCCCGCAGATGACCATGTTGCACCCCTCCTTGTGCACCACCTCCCTCAACAACTTCGCCACAAAGAGTGGCTCCAGATCGCTCCCCTCCCCCTGCTTCCCGTCGAGTTCCACGAGGAGCGCGCGGTCCGCTCCCATCGCCATGGCGGTGCGAAGCGTGTCGGCCGCCTTGGCCGGCCCGGCGGAGAAGGCAAGAATGTCCCGCACCGCGTCACGGTTGCGTTCCCGTAAGCGCACGGATTCTTCGATGGAGAGCTCGTCGAAGGGGTTCATGGACATTTTCACGCCGGAGGTCACAACGGCGGTTCTGGTGGCGTTGACGCGGGGTTTTATCTTTTATTTTTATTTATTTTTGTTTTCGTTAGTTATTAGTTAAGGGCTTGTCTTTTGTGGAAAATAAAAATTTAGAAGTAGAATTAGGATTGATGGGGGGAAGGTACAGCGTAGTCTATGACCTGCTTTATTGGAACGAGAATGCGGAGGGAGGTCATTGCTGGGTATTGCTGTTGTATTTACGGTTTGTTGGGGAGGAATTGAGTTGAGAGGATAGGGATGTGTCGCCGTGCGTGGTGAAGGTGATGGAAGTTGGAGGTTGGGAGTCGAGTACAATACTGTACGACGATGTGTAAAACTTGCCCGAGGGTTTCAGATCGGCATGTGCCGAGAGTTAAAAGTGAAAAAAGGTGGGACTTTAGGTGTTTTGACCTCCCCCACCTTGGAACCCGACCTACCGGTATCATAATAATATTATAATACCGGTAAATTATTTCATTCAGGAAACGAGAGCACATCAAAAGTCATGAATTTACGTCTAGAAATGAGAAAACCTACACAATACCAGCGTGTCACGGACGTTCCCTATAGAATACCGCTGAACGTTTCCATATACCAGTGAACTGAATGTTTTAGAACAAAAATGGGCTTTGCTCAATGAACTAACTTAAAAAAATTGACTATTACCCCAACAATGAGCAATGACAATGGTTTCCTTGGCAACAGACAGGAAGAGTAAAACAAAACAAATAGTGAGATTGTTTTGTAGCATAAATAGCGAGTAAAAAGAAGTATTTAGGACTTTAGGTTGAGAATTGAAAGACTTGTCAGCCTGAGAAAACCTCAAATTACAAAAAAAAAAAATTTAAAATGTTTTTCTGCCAGTCCTCCAAATGAAGCAAAAATGCCAGTTGAAGTTGGAGTTCTGTTTACCACCTGGGAGGAGCTAAGGGCTGAGATAGAAAACTGATCAATTGAAGAACACTTTCAGTTTAGATTGACATATAAAGACTAAACACAGGCAGATTATTGATACAAACATCGTAACTCAGGATGCGTATAGTATGTATATGCCTCAATAGGCCAACATAGTAACATTCAAGTTAAGAAAATCGAATGGGAACACTAATGTGCAGGAGTACATGAAACAAATAGTCAGGTATCCAATACCCTGTCTTTGTTATGACACATTGTTCTCCTCCACCTGTTTGTCATCAAAAGTACTAAGCTGTAGGAGATAGTCGACTATTTGAGAGTTCACTATCATATTAAAGTGAACTATGAGTCAGCTCAAATAACGAAATCCACTCTGGTTAAAAACTGATGCGAACAACAATGTTATCAACTCACCAAAATTCCTACCTATATTGCACTTGTTAAACAGCAAAACTCCTATACTCATATCGACCTACTTACAATCATGGTGTTAGGAATACCAGGATCCGATACCTAGGAACTATCCTAAGTAGGATAACCCCACTTAGAATTGGAATCTCTGGTCTCCAACACCCCCCTCAGTCCGCCTTACAGGCCCACATGTCTTCATACTTCTCAATATCAGTTGCGTCCTGAAACTATAATGCTACAGAATTAAAGGTATAATATTAACACTATATATGTCGCTGCCATCAGTCCAACCAGGTCCTGTTCGCAGGATATAGGAGAGGGGACATTCGGCTAGGTCTGAGAAGTGGTACTGAGTGAGTCCGTCAACTAACCAGAGAGTTACTAGGCTTCAAAGATATGACATCGTTGGTATGAGCTGTAAGTAACAGGATGTTATCGCATTCAAGATAGGGTATCAAATAGTAAAGGATCTCAATGAGAAACCAATACATTTGCACCCACCCTATGATAATTAGAGAAGTTTAGAACTCTCTGGAACACTACCACAGAAGCCAATGGACTTCATGGAGTGTTACAAGCAGGTTGAGGAATGCGCAGTAGTTGCGGGAATAATTCCCAATGCTAGAGCGGCTATTGGAACCCAGTTACTCAGAGCAACCAAGGATTGCCGAAAGAGGAATTTTCTGTCAATCTGGTAGAAGAGCTTACTGTGAATTAGTAAGAAGTTCTTCAGAAGATATCTGTAAGTTCGATCTGGAGTTATGGTGGTTTGAAGTCAGGCGACCTAGAAAGATTACAATTACGACTACCTTCACAGATACAAGCTACAGATTAAACTGATTATTTCATTAATGATGGAGGCAATTGAGGCTAACTCAGGTTGACTTGAGAACTAGACCATAAGTCTAAAGACTTTGATGGTTGGATGATTGCTATTGGGAAAAACATGGTTTCCAGTTGGTTACATCATAATTACCAAAGAAGGATGTGGTGATTTTCAGAGTTTCCAAGTGTTCGCACCTTTGGAGAATACCTGATATTGCGAGTTATAATTAGAGAGGTACATAGTTGTATAGTGAATAGATATGATCTGCCAACACTCAAATGCGAAATATAAATATAGAAGTGCTTCCAGAAGCTTTTAGACATCATCAAGCAATGGAGAAAAGACCTTAACAATAAAATATTGTTTTCACAATTCTATTCTACTTTACCTATTTACTTTTGCCCTTAGTAATCAAAATGAAAGAGTAAAAGTGAGCCTTCCTAGACAATCTCTGTCTACAGAAATAAATCTTGATTGGTCTAGACAACTCTGAAGTCTATTAGGTTGTCTCCACCTAATATATGGTTCCAGAAGAAAACAACCAAAATGTCTTCCAATGGTTATTTATCTGTCTAGATGAATCTTGACAATCTTTTATGCAAATGCCAAGGTTCTTAGTGGTTGATAGAGTCTTCCTAATGGTACGATTTATTCAAACTCTTCTGTTTGCTGTGGGTATTTGTTAACTAGAGACAATCTAATAGACTTCAGAATTGTCTCATCCAACCAAGATTCGTTTCTGTAGATGGAGATTGTCTAAGAAAGCTCAAATTCTCTTGTTAGGTTTATGACTGCTAAGAGCGAAGTAAATTTGGTAAAGTAAGATAGAATTGTAAAAGAAATACTATATTGTTAAGGTCTCTTCTCCGCTGCTTGATGATGTTTAAAGCTTGAAAGGTACTTCAATATTTATATTTCATGTTTGAGTGTTTGCGAACTACATCTATTTATCATACAACTATGTACCTCTCAGATTGTAACTCACAACATCAGGTATTCTGAACAGGTGCAAATACCAGGAGACTCTAAAAATCATCATATTCTCTTTGGCAATTATGATATAACTAACTCAGAACTGTACTGTTACCAATAGCAATTATCTGATTATTAGAGTCTTTAGACTTTTAGCCTAGTTCTCAAGTTGAACTGAGTTGGCTCCAATTGTCTCCATCATCAATGAAATAATCAGTTTCATCTACTGGTTGCATCTGTGAAGGTAGTTGTAATTGCAACATTTTTAAGTTGCCTGACTTCAAACTTTCATAACTCTATACCCAACTGATAGATATCTTCAGGAGGACTTCCTACTAATTCACAGAATGCTATTTCACCAGACTGATAAATATTCTCTTGGTCAGCAACCCATGGTTACTCTGAGTAATAGGTTTCGCGGTTGTAGTATTGTGAGATATTCCTACAGCTACAATAGGTTTTGAAACCTAGTTGCAACACTCTGCGAAGTCTATTGGCTTCTATAGTATTGTCCCTCAGAGTTCTAGATTCTTCTGATTATTGTAGAGTGGAAATGAATATATTGGTCTCTTGATGAGATCCTTTACCATTTGATATCATCTCTTCATGCGAAAATGTCCTGTTACCTAAGGCCTATGCCAAAGATGCCTTATATTTAAAGCCTAGTAACTTTCTAGGCAGTTGACAGACTTACTCCACTCTACTTCCTAGACCTAGCTGATGGTCCCCCCACATATATCCTGTGAACATGATTCAGTCAGATAGACCCTGGCGATGTATTCAGTATTATTCGGACACCTTCTATTCTGTAGTATTATAGTCACAGGACGCAACTGACATGGATATGTATAATAACGTGTGGGCCCCATCAGGGGGCTGGAGGGGGATGTTGGAGACAAGGGATTCCGATTCCGGGTGAGGTTACCCTACTTATGGTAATTCCTAGGTATCAGATCCCGGTATTGCTAATATGAGCTCCCTCCTCTTAAGGCTTTGCCCCGAATGCCTTTTGGGTATAGAAGAAAAATAAATTAAAAATGAAAAATTAAAATAAAACATCAAACCATTAAACCTCAAATATTAGCTCCTTTAGGACTTAATAAGAGCAGGGGAAAAAATCTTCCACGTTTACTTGGCCACGGTAGGAAAACCTTGTTCCTCATCGTCCTTCCTTTGCATGTTATGGCATTTTCAGATTATCACTGTGGAACACTTCCACCATTTCTCTTGCATTACCCATACCTGTGGCAGGTGTTAGATGGAGACAACTTGATAGACTTCAAGGTTGTCTAGGCCAATTGAGATTCGTTTCTGTAGACGGAGATTGTCTAGGAAGGCTCGGACTTGGCTCATTTCGTTTATGACTACAAGGAGTGAAGTAAAGTAGGTAAAGTAGGGTAGAATCGTAAAAATAATATTATATTGTTAAGGTCTCTTCTCCATTGCTTCATGATGTCTAAAGCTTGGGAGGCACTTCGATATTTATATTCCACATCTGAGTGTTCACGGACTATATCTATCTATCATACCACTATGTACTTCTTCAATCGTAATTCGCAATGTTGAGTTTTCTTCCAAGGTGCAAACACCTGTGGACCCTGAAAACCATCACACCCTCTTCGGTAATTACGATATTTCTTCTTAGGAAACGTACTGTCCCCAATAGTAATATCCCAATTAGCAGAGTCTTTAGACTTATGGCCTAGCTCTTAACTCGAACTGAGTTGGCACCAATTGTCTTCGCCATTGATAAAATGATCAGTCTTATCCACGGCTATATCTGTAAAGGTGGTCGTCATTACAACCATCATAGGTCACCTGACTCCGATCCTTTGTAACTCCATACCCAACCAATAGATTTTCTCTGGATGACTTCCTATTAACTCACCGGAAGCTATTCCACCAGATTGGTAATTAATTCCTCGGTCGACAACCCTTGGTTGCTCTCTGGGTAGTAGGTTTCAGTAACTATCGTAGTATTGAAAATCACCCCATGACTACGACGTATTCCGAAACCCAGTTGCAACACTCCATGAAGTTCATTAGCTTCTTTGGTAGTGTCTTTTTGGAGTTCTGGACTCTTCTGGTAGATGTAAATGTATTGGTCTCTCGTAGAGATCCTTTACCATTTGATACCATCTCTTTGTACGAAATCATCCTGTTACTTATGGCCCCATGCCAAAGGTATCATGTCTTTGAAGCCTAGTAACTCTCTCGGTAGTTAACGGAATTACTCCGTTCCACTTCCCAGGCCTAGCCGAAGGTCTCCTCTCATATATCCTGCGAACAGGATCCAGTCGGATGGACGATGGCGACGTATATGGTATTATTCTAACACCTTCAACTCTGTAGTAATGTAGTCACGGGACGCAACTGAGGTTGATATATATGATGACGCATGGGCCCTGTAAGGGAGCCGGAGGGGGGTGTTGGAGACCAGAGATTCCGATTCTAAGTGAGGTTATCCTACTTAGGGTGGTTCCTAAGTATCGGGTTCTGGTATTCCTAACATACACTAAGGACATGGTGAACAAGTGGTGGGAAGACAACATGCCAAATGATTCTCTATCACTCAAGATTAATTACATCATGATATGCTGGACACCAACTATGCAGGAAACTGAGCAATGGCAAGTTGAACTAAAAGTCCGAGATAGATTTTGGGTACTATACTTTGAGTTGGAATTCAAAAGCAGTGATGAGGAAAATCAGACTATAGAACAAGTCCTTGACAACCTCACCTAGTCACTATTCACCATCCAAATATCATAATGATGTCGAACTATGTGGAACTGAATGTGAGGCTGGGATAACATCTTGTTGGACTGTTGTTGAATTATGATGTTATCCAACTTAAAGACTACTTCGCTATCATCTGGGTAGACTAGTGCCCTGATTGTAATAATTCTTTGATAGACATACAGCATGAATCTATTATTAGTGATTACTGTAATTTGTATTTCTTTGAGTCTTGTTGTTTTCTTAGGATTTCTTCCTGTCCCTGGTGTGGCACTTATGATGAAGAACTTATAGCGGAAACTGAAGCCTTTAGTTTCTCGGACTCCACTTTTGATGATTATTAAGATTTGTTTAAACATTGTTTTGTTTTGGGGAATGTAACCGGTACGGGTACTCAGTTATTAGTTTTGTTTTATGTTTTGTTTTAAGTATCGCTTTGATACTTAGTTTGATTTACGTATCGTTTAATCCTTGGTTTTGTTTTATGTTTTGTTTTAAGTATCGCTTTGATACTTGGTTTGTTTTAAGTATCGTTTAATCCTTGGTTTTGTTTTATGTTTTGTTTTAAGTATCGCTTTGATACTTGGTTTGTTTTAAGTATCGTTTAATACTTGGTTTTGTTTTATGTTTTGTTTTAAGTATCGCTTTGATACTTGGTTTGTTTTAAGTATCATTTAATCCTTGGTTTTGTTTTAAGTATCATTTAATCCTTGGTTTTGTTTTATGTTTTGTTTTAAGTATCGCTTTGATACTTGGTTTGTTTTAAGTATCGTTTAATACTTGGTTTTGTTTTATGTTTTGTTTTAAGTATCGTTTTGATACTTGGTTTGTTTTAAGTATCATTTGATACTTGGTTTTGTTTTATGTTTTGTTTTAAGTATCATTTTAATACTTGATTGTTTTTACCAAAGTGTATCACTTGATACCTTTGATTAGTTTTGTTCATGCTAGAACTTGAACAGATTTGTGTACTTAAAGACCACCTGTTTCCACAATGGAAAAGGTAGACTTCAACAGATAGTATTTCAATATACTTGGTTGAACAGTTACCTCTTTGTTTCTCAGTACATCCTCGAAGCCTCCTTTACTTCTCAGCTCTCACCTTCTCTCTGGTAGACCAGGCCACCTGCCAACTATCATACCATTTACCAATAACATGGCTAGCACCTTACAAACACGTTACACCTACACACTTCATAGTTTAGCTATCAACACTCACATGAGTGTGACAAAAATCACCCAATCAGTGGTAAAAAGAAAAAAACAAAACTTCCCAGTCTATAATGCTACTTTGATTAGTCATAGTATTTTTGGGTGACTTGTAAATTTAGATCCTCATTTCTGGTCTGAACTGCCAATCTACCCATGATATTTGGCGCCAAGATCATACATTAATTAGAAGCAGACACAGCCATCATATGTACTGAGCAGTTGCGCTAAGGAGTGATATCTGATCCTACAAAAATGTAAGATCTGATAACAATGATAGTAGATAAGGGGAATTTCTGAGCATGCACGTGATTTATGATGAGATGTGCAGTTGGGTGTATTTGTGAGCACATTCTCACAGAGCGCCAAGAAAAGAAGCTCGGCACCCCCGCTGGCAATTTCTGACTATCCATCCGTATCTTCTCCCTCAGACTTTCAACATTCACAACGGGCTCGAGCGTAGATCGAGGGGATGCTAGTAGTGCGTGCTGTGCTGTAATGTACTGTACTCGTACTCGGGAATAGTAGGAAAAAGTATGGCGAACTCTTGGGTGCCAGATTCTGTTATCAGTAGCCACACCCGCTACACTTTTTCCTAGTCTACTAGTCTACCTCCTACGTACTAAGTACAAATGAGACTCGGAGAATTTCCTGTTGGGAAACATCAATTTCTTATACTATCATACCAACCTCCCTCCTAAATTACCATTCCATACTCTCAAGAGTCATCACAATCAATCACTCGCTAATCTATAAAATAAAATAAAAGACTCCGGTCCAATAGAACCCCGTTATAATATTTCCGGGCAGAAAAGGGTAATCTATGGTTACTACAGACTAAAAGTTACTGGGGTAATTCCCGAAAGGAGCCGAACCACCTCCACTGCTATTCTCGCGTCTCCCCCTCCTCGTAGGGTCTTTGGGCGGCCCATAGTTCTCCCAAACAGCTGGCTCACCGGCAGCACCCGAACCCCCCATTCTCATGTTTGCTTTATTGGTCGCTTCAATTCCAGCAAATTTCTTACCAACGCCACGGGCTTCTTCGATGCTCCTTGTCAAGACTCCCAACAGTGCCACGAGATGCACGTCAGATTGCTCCGCAAGCTGCTCCTGGCGGAATGCACCAGCGTCGGCTGGCGTGAGTAGTGGGAGACGGGAATGTGTGAGAGACTTCAAAGCGCGGAGGAGCTGATGGTTCGGTTTCTTATGGGGGGGGTCGGAGAGGTAGTTTGTTAAAAGGCGAATCCGGGAGTGGAGCATGCGAATGGCGTTTGCCTTAGCAGTTAAATTCGCCAATACTGCCCATCTATTAATACCAACTCGTGCCAACGATAGGCGCAATAGGGAAAGGAGGGAAAACTTACATTCATCATTCTGAGTCCCCACATTCAACTTGTCCTCTGTCTCCTCTCCAGCCCTCTCCCCCCTCTCCCCCCTTTCTCTCTGTTTCCCTTTCTCCTTAATCATCTCAGCGAATTCACCCGCAAGCTTAATCTTTTTAGCATCCTTCGGAAAAACCTTTCCTTCCGCCGTGCCCTCCAATCCTGAAGACTCAGCCGTAGCATTACCAAAACCACCCTTGGCAACAAAGTCCACACCAATCATCTCAGCCTCGCCAGTCTCGATGGTATACTTTAACGGCACAAACCTAAGTTTCAGCATACTCTCAACAGACCCGGCAGCAGCTGCATCCTCGGTTTCAATAATAGACTCGTAAATCCCCAACGGAAGCTTCCCACCACCACCGGCCGATGCGTTTGGAGCAGGATTGAGGCAGAGGATAATTGCCGACTCGTTGTAGTTTAGCATCTTCTGATGGATAGGAACCATATACAGTGATGGGGCGAAGGTAGGCGAAGTAGTGGTTGTAAACCAACCGAGTAAATCAAGTGTTGGATGGGTTTCCTTGACTATTTTTTGGAAATTTTTTATTTTATTTCCCGCATCAGTAAATCGACGGGGAAACCAAGATGAAGGGAAGGGAAACCCACAGAGTTTGAGCTTGTTGTCAAACCATTCTTCGTCAATCCTAACCTGATCCTTATCCACCAAAGTGATAATTTCGTATGCATGTTCGATAGCTATATCTCGACCTTCCTGGGTGCCCAGAAGTGCGCCCACCATCGGACCGGTCTGTTTTCTGAGTGTGTGCCTTGTAATGTAATCTGAAATGGTCAAGAGCGCTAGCGGGTGTAGCGCAATCTGCAGCCCCGAGGTGGAGGGATGGGTTGAAATGAGGGAATCATCACTGATTTCAGCCATGATTATGGTCACTGTTGCTCTTCTATTGTTGTGATGGTGGGGGTTGAATGTGGTTGTTGGCTTGAGCTCCCGGAAGCCCTGTTGGTGGGGAGTGCGAGGAAATAGACTAGTCTATGTTGACGTGAGCTGACAGGACATGAAACAATTGTTCAGGGTCTAGGGTTTCCGCCCCTAGGTGACATAAGCATTTTATTCTCACTCGTAACCAGCTCGTCCTAAGAAAATAAAGTTTTGCGGTTTTATCGGAAACGCACAGCTAATACCGGTAAGAGCATCAAGTAGCTATCGCTATGAAGTAACAACGGCAATAAATAGTGATAGAGATGATGGAAATAGTAAGGGTATAAAAATAATTCCCAACTTTCAGTGGGAGACTACTAAACTGAGGTGCGGTCTAGAATTTATCGAAAAAAAGAAAAAAAGGCTAAAATTGTAATCGGATCGACGTTGAAAGTCAGCTTCTTATCTGGGAGCAAAACTCACTAACCCCCCAGTCCTGCTTGGTGATAGCGCCTGGGCTGGAGAGTTGTGGGATTCTTTAATCAGATATATTCGTAATTAAGTACAGGTCATTGAGTTTCGACAGTCCAAAGCAACACCCTTACATACTCTCCACTTGAGGAATAGTATGGGATCATTCATGCTAAAACATCTTTCTCAAAAGCTTCCGCATATATGACACTCCACATAATTTCGGCAATGGCATTGGGAAAAAGGTAAAATTCAAAGCGGTGACAGGAAAAGTGCTTTTGGCCAGTTGATGAAGGGAAGCACAATGTAAGGGTTTAGTAGGATGGCACCTCCTCAATCCAAAGTTCACGTATGGGGGATCTAACACCCCAGGGGTCACTTAGCCTTGCACGTATCCTCACAACATTGATGATTGCAGTCGTTTGGGGAGCGTGAGCTAGAGGGTTTTGTGGATGTTGAGAGCGCCCGACTCTCCTCTTCGATGATATCTCAGGTTCCAGCATACGGGGTGGACAGCCCAGTGACTAGGCGGGGTATTAGATGAGCAAGGGTTCTCGCTGTTGTTTTGGTGGGGGAACTCTTACGTCATATTCGTCCTCCCAGTATTCCCCACCAAACTCGCTGACAGATCCACTACTAACCAAATAGGAGAGATCGTCGAAAGGTTCATTTATACTCGAGTACATGAGAGTGCGTACTCTGCAAGTCTGATAAACCACCCTCGCACTCTCGTCTCAAACCCTCCAATTGCGAAATTGCAACGGCTCCCTCCATATCAACCCCCACGCTCGCCTTGGTTTGATCATCTCAGTGATACCCAAACGAATCAAATCCCTCGAAACGGGTTCCACCTCCAGTACCCCATATATTGAGCATATCCATCCCGCACAAAAGTCTATCGATCAGCAGCGACTTTACTCTTTCTTCAAGCCTTTGCAGCCCCAACGCCTCCTCAATCACCTCTTTTAATTTATCATAAACTTCCACCATCTCCGTAATTCCCCATTCGGTATAAGAGCTTCTCGGCCGGTCTCCAATTTCCCTGATCGCGCCTAAAAAATCTCCGCTATTTCGAAGGGAATTGTATTTCACTGCTCATTTTACCAGACCTCAGGCCCCGACCCAGTAATATTGTTCTATCCCACCTAGGAACTGCAGCAATCTTCGGACTCTCCCCCCATCGAATCCCTCATCCCTGAGCCTTTACAGGACAGGAAGTTCAGACATCCAATTTAGTTTGGGGTTTCGACCGCGCACCGGTGGAGGTAGGGATCCGTGGTCGTCCCGAGCAGTGGTATTGGGGGTAAAACCATACCGGACCCTGAGAGCTTCGGTAACAATAACTTCGGCTCTGGACAGCGGAAAGTTGGGGAAGGTGGGGGATTCTGAGGCGAAATCGATGAAGGTACTAGTGCTCATTCACGCTGCAAGGTTTAATTGACTTGAGGGGGAGCAGTGAAGGCAAATACTTCTGAAGATCCACTTGATTGCATTTTGATAGATAGTCTAGCAGTTGTCAATACTGAAGACGGGTCTTCAGACAGAGTATCAGCGCGAGGATTGGGCCCTTAGAGCTCTACGATACGTGGTTTGAGAGGTTGTGTCTCCGAGGAGGCGAGTGATGACACCAGGCCCCTCCGGGGGGTAAAATTTAATGAACTAACACGGTGCCCTGAACCCTTTCTCACTACGATAGTGCGGCTATACCGAGGTCGTGTCGGTATCATATATTCATAGTATGACGATGTTTCCCAGAATTGCGGCTAATCCTAAAAGTCTCCGAGAGATGGGTTAAATTCCAGATTCATGGCTCACCACTCGTTCCGACAATCCGTCAGCCATTTGACATCCGAGACACCCGATCATCTCTTTCCGCGAAAGCCCCATAGCAAACTACTCGAGTACGAGTACAGTAAGAACTCATAATTGGAGCGTGTGCCGCTGTATGATATGTCGTTCGAGTTGCTGGTATTTTTTCTTTTTCTTTCGTCCTTTACTCGAGTACAACGGGGGGCTGAACCACACACCTTTTTGCTGTGTTTTCCGCCCCTTTTCCAGAGAAGGAAATTTTGGACTACCTACAAGTAGTACTCGTACAGTACTAGTACGAAGTACACGGTGCAATTATTTGAGATTCCGCAGCGCCCGTGCCTTGATACCAAAACTCGGAATCAGGCACCAATACCGGTACGTCGGGTATGACATTGCGGGGGTCGGACGCGGGAGCTATGGCCCTATGATACTATACGAGTACTGTATGATACCTGGGGAGACCTGGCATTCTGTCTTAGCAAATTAAGTTGCCGGGTGAGTTTAACCCTTCTTTTGCGCGGTCCCACAGCACTACTGGTGCCGCGCCGGCTCTCAGATGTAAACATGTGGCATCGATCATTGAGGCAGTGGGTTACCTTCAGAGCAAACCCGCCCATTCGGTGAGATGCCAAACACATGGGAATTACCGGAAGGGTGCTAATTTAAGACCCTCAATTTTTTATCATTGTCACTAACGCCATAAAACTAGGCATCAAATCGCGCTGCTCGTGTCGATGGATTGAAGTTTTTTTTAGTTTTTTCCCCCCCCTTTGGTGGCGGTTACACACCAAAAGAGACGTGACTTCAACCCGGCGACATGGGTATACTAGAGGAAACCGGAACATCCCATCATGGGAACCGTTCTCGACCTCCTCGCAATCGGCAGTGCGGTAGCTAAGGGATGCTTGCTCGAGTACCGTATGCTCCCATCAACGTACGATCGTACTCGAGTACCGTACATACAGCGCCCGTGTGACCTTTTACGCCGCAACACAACGCTCTTCCTTTATAGGCCTCGCGTTGGCGCTTTATCACAAGGTTGCCATATCATGCTGTACTGGAGGTTTGGTGTTTAATCTATTTATTCGCTTTATTCTAAAATTGACGGGAGTCGCCTGTTTCTGCAATGGGTGACGGGAGGGGAAAAGAGATCCTGCTAAATGATATGCACAATGTTAGCCTACTGCCGGCACTCGTCCACTAACTCAATGTCTCTGCGCTCCGAGGCAGGGGAAGATTATCAACCAGTACGCCTCCGAGTTTAGTACGGTACCTTACCGTAGGTGAATATGTACTATATTCTTGGAAGGCATGCATCGGAATGTGGAGTCCAATGCTAAAATTGGAGAAAAGAAAGTAATTCGGTAGAGAAGCCCATGCACGCTGTAGCTCTATCACCCATCTGCCGTTAACAACCTGATATTACTGGATGTTAGTGGTATTGGATGTCCAGGTACCGGTGAGAGTACTTGTGAAGGAGATATTTTCCTTTACCGACATTAGAGCGTACAGTTTGAAGCCGCACCACGACAGCGCGAACTCCAACGGAGATCTGAATGGAGGCATTTAGCCCTGGGGTTGGAAAAGCGGTTTTCGAATGCCAAGTGTGGAGTTGATCTGTCAGTTTTGTACGATACGCAAAAAGGCGTTACACACACCAGGATCGAAAAATTTGCATAAAGGCTTTCCAACCCAGGGGCTGAATGCCCCTAATGCCGGCACAACAAGCTTTTTGTCGATACAAATACGGTACCATAGCTAGCTACACAAGACACGGACATTACTTTCGTTGGCGGCGGTGAAAGCTGTCTTGTGGGGTCCACAGTATGATATCGTGCTCCGTGTAACGGCGTATCATGAGTTAATGTTGAACTACGGTACGGTACCGCAGGGTAGGGGAGAGACTAAGCGCTTAACCTGACCAACAAGAGATCAGAATAAGATACGGGTAGCTATCTGTTCGCCACTCCCCTCTACCCGTTTCTTATCGATAAGCATAAAAAAACACGCTTGATAACGGGCAGGCGAAAGATAGATCAAACCTCCTTCTCTTGACTAACCGCAATATGCCCAGCAGAGTAGAACTACCAGGCTCCGGGACGCTCACCTGCGCAGCAGCAGAGTATCAGGGGATTCGGATGTGGGCCATCACACCGGTCAAAACGAGGTGAAAAATCTCGATAATAAAAAAAGGAGAAAAAAAAAGTAAAAAGGTTAATCTCGAGGAGAGGCATTCCACAAATGGCAAAAAGTTCCCCCACCATAAAAATTCCCACTTGTGTTTTTTTCGCCCTCATTTTTCGTTACCGTGCAATACCTTAAGTTTACCCATCCTCCCCTCCCCTGGCTTTACCCTTCGCTTTCCCCGTGCTCCCAATTACCACACAGGCATAATGATTAATAAATGATAAAGTGGACAAGGTGTGCGAGGTATCTGATGGTGGTATTCGGTGGGTTTTCATGATATCAAATCTGCGTACCGCTCGATGGTGCGGTATGGCACCGGCCAGGAAGAGGAATATTGAACCTTTCTGGGAAGGGAGTGGAGGGGTGTGTGAGGTGGGTCAAATGGAGAGGGAGCTTGGAACAAGACTTCGAGGCTAAGTTCCAGAAAGGCAAAAAAATACGGGCTACTGGGATGTGATTGGTTCGTTAGGAGGAAGCGAGATCAGCTCCTAGGTTGTCGGCTTACCCGACAGACGTGGGGGGGAGGGGGTGCAGGGTGGTCAGGATACAGTACCGCACCGCTCCGGTACTTTTCTCCTATACAATATCCCCTATGCATCGCAATGTCCCCTCCTGAGATCTCGTACTCTCCGCTTACTGCTGTTGGCACGTTGCTGCTGTTCGGCTTTTCGTCTTGTGGGAGATAGAGGGGAGGCAACAAGGAGGAAGGGTTGGTATGAGGCCGTGAATCTGGTGATATATGCACAGTATATATATACACACACATATATATCATAATATTATGCAAGTCACTCTTTTTCAAATAACGTGTTTGTCCCCTTTTCTCCTCCATACCAGAGAGATACGGTCCCGTGAAAATAGCCTCCCCCCGCTCACCACATTGCTATTACTACCGCTTTGGTAATCAGGTGGCTTCTAGTTGGCTGATAATCTGCTCCATAATAGATAATAGGCAAGGGAGTGTTCTCGCATCCATCGAGATACTCTGGGCCGTCCCCATACGAAGCCACGCAGGCCCGAAAAGAAATTACATAGAACCTACGAAGAGATAATTGTCCCAAAAAAAAGAGAGAGAGAGAAATTGAGCAAATCGAAAGCGTGACTTCTTGGTCTGGATAGGAAGGTGCAAGGGAGTGGGTAGGATAACAGAGTCTAGACGAGGATCCAACTGTTCTCTCTCTCTCGTGCTCCTTCATGCAGATCGGGAAAAGTCAAGGGCAAGAAAGAGAAAGAGGTTACGGTAAAGGGGAGAAAAAATCGATCATAGCCCAACTGTGAAGGGCAATTAGAAGCCATTTCCAAGCCTCTATCTTGAACAGTTGACTTCACGCCCGGCAGTTTAAAAAGAAGGGTGGTTCCCTACGCTTGCGTGGATCGAGTAAAGGTGAGGGGAGCAGGGCGGTTTGATTGATTTCGCGTGTGCTTGTGTGGATCCTTCAGCACTCACCTCATCATACTCCCTTCCCCTCCCCCCGGGCTTCTTCATTCCCCGGGCTCTGGTATTACTCCATACTTCCCAGAAAGGAACACCAGACGAACAGCTGGGGAACAAACCCCCAACTTCCCCCCAGCACATTAACATTAGGCACGAACACTTGCTCTCAATTTTTCTATTCTCACGGGAAAAGCGATTCTGCCGGGTTGGGTCATATAGAACGTGTGCTGGGGAAACTTTATATCAGAACCCAACATTTTTCAACTCCCTCTCGTCGGAAGAAGCGGTTACAAGCAGCACTTCTAATTCTATTCCCCCTTCGCTCCCGCCGCCTACTAGTTCAGGGTTGCAACTTCTTTCCTTTCCCCAGCTATTCACTTTCCCTTCCTTCTCACCTCCATTTCTACAACATTCCCTCCTCCTCCTCATTTCCGTCCTTTGAGTCTTCCAACACCGCGAACCTGAGGTACCTACCCGCCGGGAAGCACTGAACGAAAAGTGTAAAATTTACCGTTTTGATTCCCACGCTTTGAAATGCCGGACACAACGCTTTACGGCATCGTGGGTCTCATGGTAGTGGCGGGCGTCCTGTACCTATCCTACAGCCGCCGAACAGCTCCGTCTTTCCCTTTGGCGGATAGAAGCCGTCGAACACCTGTTGAAACTGCCGGCACTCCACCACGTTCGTTGACACCTAACCTTGCTTCCGAGAAGGGTGCCAGAATTGAGGATATCGCCAGACCTGAGGATGTTTCAGGGTATTCCCTTCCCCAACCCAATGCCCCGATACCGAATAGGAGGAAACCCTCTATCACGGCTCTTGTGACCAATCTTTTACCGACATCACGGCGTAGCTCTGTAGCTTCGCCCTTCACGAGTACTACGACTGATAGTGAAGGAGGTGCCTTTCCGCCTGTCGTTAACCGCTCTAAGGAAGAGATTGAGAGCTACGGCGACTTCCCGGATTATGCTGCTTTGACCGGGGTCAGACTGCCGGCCCCTTATATGGAGTTTGATATCAAAAAGGCACTGCCGAGACCTTACCGACCATTCCGCTGGGCGTATCATCAGACTATGTGTATGTTTCCTTGCTCCCTCTGCCCTAGCCCTGCATGTTTTTGTTTCACCGGGATGGATCAATTCTTCGTTTCCGCTGTACTGGGACCCAACCTAGAGGTCCGGGCTGTTGCTGCCGCCTTTCGGGTTGGGCAGTTTATATTGAGTGAGCGCTGATGACCGAACCTAGCACTAACGAAAATGGAACCTGACTGGTGGCTCGAGCTGGAAAATACCTATGTGGATCGGATTGCCCAACGAAAATCACTCTACGCCCAACACGGAAAGCAGGTCCTCGATTACCTCCCTGGCACCGAAGCTGCTTGCAAGGAGCTAATGGAAATGTGTTTGGAATTTCTGGTCGCTCGGTACCCCCACTACTTTACCCTTAAGGATCGCCACACAAACCCTGTTTTCGGGAATAAGATACTCGATAAAGAATTCCGCATCAAGGGGATGCATCCACTGCATGTTATTCTTGAGAATATACCCGAAGATTTCGCGATTACCTTGCAGGATGACCAGGGGTTCTATTCATTCAGGGCGGGAGTTATTTGCAGTAGCCTTGGGTGGAACGTTGGGACTAAAATTGGAATGAAGTTGCACGAGATTCACAAGCCGATCCCAGATTACAAGGAGAAGATGCAAAAGTCGATGGACCGGTACTTTTCCTCGCCCATTTTCTCCTAGCGCTTCCTCTAACATTGACCAGATACTTTACGAAAATGCAAACCAACAAGCCCATCCAACGCGGCTCCTGGGGCCTAGAAGTCGGACAACCACTTTTCATGCCCCCCGGTGACCCCCATGAGGCTTACCGCTCAGCCCAGTCTCCATCGCTTACACTCGACGATGTGAATCTCCGCGTGGACTGGCAAACACTCCGTCGTCTCCCGCTGTCGGGCGCTATTGTATTCAATTTCAAGGCGCTATTCACACCAATTCAAGAATTCAGAGACGAGCCGGGAGTTCCCCAGTTGGTTTTGAAGGTCCTCAAAGAAGGCAAGAAGAACCTGATGGAGTACAAGAACACGTGGCATGTCGAGCACGTTGCACTTCCCGCGTTGGAGAAGTGGTCCAAAGAGCAGACAGAAGAGGGATTGATGCCGGAAGGATGGGAAGTTTCGACGTTGGGGGAGAGTCCATGGTTTAGGGGATGGAGGGAGAAGTGGCATCGGCAGCAGGGATTCTAGATTTCCGGACTATGGCTTACGAGACGAACGGGTCTTGTAGGCTGGGTTTGGAGTGGATCTCAATAATTGGGTTTGGTGGATGTGTAAAAAATAATTCTTTTCTCCTCACCTGTTTTTCTCTCTGCATTTTCTTGTGTTTGTTTGTCTGGGGAGTCCGCCCTTGCTTGGTTTTCACGTCGGGAGTTTTTTTGTTTCTCTTTTCTTTTCCTCTTGCCCCTGCATTTTCTGGGGCCCCGGCAAAAAAAAGTGGAGGATTATTGAACATACAAAAGCGTTTTCCAGGGAGCCGTAGGGGACAGCGGTACCATTAGTTGGGGGCGTTATCACTTGTACATGACTATTAGCACAAATACAAATGCCTGCAGTTGTACGTGTACATCTGTGGGGTGGTTGTTCGGCGGCGGCCTCTCACGGTGAATCCGGCCGGACCTTGGGAATGGCAATCATTCTTGCACAGTATGATACAGTACCATGGATTTGAGTGATGATCCAGGGTGTCCAGGAAACCCGGGAAGTTTTGTTTCCGAGTGACACCTCGTGCGTACCTAACGCAGGGGTGTGGAGTGTGAATACTGGTAATGGGTATCGCACATTAGAGTAGGGTTGGATTCTTTGGTGTGGCGTCTACGAAGAGCTTACTATATAATATGATACCAGTACTATAGCAAATCACTTATCTCAGGCAAGATGTACAGTGCATACTGTATCATACAGCACAGTAATTTACCCCGAAACAGGGACCAAGTAAATAACACGGCATGATATAAAAATATATACATATGAGCACCAAGGAAAAACATATAAACTACCCCTCTCAAACAATCGAATCGTGAGCTAACTTGTAGGTAAATCAGGTATCACAGGCAGGCTATTATAGTCCAAGATTTCCTCATCCCCCCCCCCGGGCGAAAAACACAGGAGGTGAGTCTACTAGTCCCCCCGAAAGGAAGGAAGGGAGACATATATTATTATTATTATTATTATTATTATTATTATTATGAAAAAAAATGAAAAAAATGAAAAATGAAAGAAAGACAGGACTAGGAAGGAGACAACCCGAACGATATCACTTAGCACCATGGCCTATTGTCTTTGAGACCCCAACTCACGGTTATGATACGTACAGTACAATCACACATCGGTTCTCGGGGACTTGTCTTGTATAACTTTTTTTCTTCTTCTTCTCACTTCGTTTGAATTCTGAAAGTTTTGAAGCCGCTTCTAGAGCCTTGTCACACATAGCAAATCACCGCCGGGGCGTGCGAGGAATGTGGGGATACGAGCCGAGGTACAGTCTCATAGGTTGCGATGCTGGCTATGATAAAAGGAAACGAACCCCCCCTTCGCGCTGTCCGTCCACAACACCGATACTCTCGAGCATATCATACCAACTTATACGGATATCTCCCCTTCTTCGCGCGTGCCGAATTTTCACTACATAGCATGCGGAGCGCATATACGGTACAGTACATAGCGCCGGAAAAGCGATAGAGGTCCTCTGTGAACCAGGCAGAAGAAGAGCTGGCTTGAGGGTTTTTCGAGCCGACTTGTGATATTATATCTCAATGTGTCCATAATATGATAACCTATCTTGAAAACTCGGTTTTGGGATCAAAAATTAAAAGGGTTATAGAGATAAATGCGTTTACTTCGGGCCTTCGTCTGGAATTCGCACGTATATCGTACACGAAGCGGGGCGGGGAAGGGTCCGAAAGCGGTGTAGGATGGATATATCCACCCCTCACGAACAACAACAAAATGCTTTGAAGGAAAGGGAACATTTATTCCACTTCTCCTCACCAATTGTATGGGGGAAAAAAACAATCCTACACTCATTCATATGGGTGCTAATACTGCGCCATAACAAATTACATTAATTTTGAATTTTGAATTTTTTTTTTTTCCCTTTTCTTTCTCCCATGTTGCCCTCCGGCAATGGGTTTAGTTGTTGCAATGATAATCCGAAACGCTTTTTCGGTTTTCGGTGTGTGTGTAAACCTTTTATTCAACTACAACCTCACCTACTAACTAGAGTAATCGGAGTACGGCATGAGATACAGCCCCCAGCCCTGGGCCCCCCTTAAAGAAATCCCCCTTGCGGGCCACCTGCCACAAAACAAACATCAACGCGCAACAAAAGAAACAACAGCCCGGCGCCCGCACCTACACCCAACCCTACCCCTAGCAACATTAGCCAAGGATCCACGGCCCCCTGTCGCAGGCACCACCAGAAGGCGGCACCCCGGGGAGCTCCCCATTAAGCAACAGTGCCCCCAAGCCATTACAGCAAGGGTGATACCGCAATGTTGACAACAGAACCGAACGGTCGGCGGAGTTCGGGACAGGTCAGTCGTCGTCATAGTCGTCTGGGCCAGAAGAGGAAATATTGATTGCCGAGCTGCCACCGCCACAAAACATTCAGCCGCGCCACCCAAAGGGGGCGGGCCACACCAGTCAAGCCACACCCAAAAGAGGGGGTGGCGAAACACAATTTCTCCGGGTCAAAGCCATCCCCCCCACAGGGGGTCAGGAACACCGGGTTCGCGCGGGGACCAGCCCGATGCTGGGAAAAGACAGTGAGGTGCTCAAGGCCCTAAGGGCCCAAGCAAGAAAGAAGGGGGACCAAGGAGGAACCGGAATTGCATGAGTGTCCGAACGGTCGCTCCGAAGAGGGGGGGAGGACGGCCTCCCTATACGACCAACTGTATCCTGGCCGGAAACCAAGGACGCCCGACTGACAAGCAAGAGCAAAAACAAGGGAAAAATAAGGACCGCAAGGCCCACTCGGTGCCGTATCAATAGGCGAACAAAAGAAAGCGAGCCAACAGAGCACGAAACGTGAACCTTCCGAAGGTGGGGAAGTTAAAGACTTGAAGCCATCGTGAGAAGCTCTCCAAGGGCGTTTGATTGGGTGAACCCCCCGAACACCGCACTGAACACCTAACCCTCAGAGTTGAAAAGAAGGAGACTGTGTATGTGTGTGTGTGTGTGTGTAAACCTTTTATTCTTCCACTATCTCACCTACTAACTAAAGTAATCGGAGTACGGTGTGGGATACTGCCCCCAGCCCTGGGCCCCCCTCAACGAAATCCTTCGCTACACCCCCCTGTAGGCCATACAAAAGAAACTCCCGCCCCCCCCTTCTCCTTTCCCTCAAACGATTTGATCCAACACAAAGGAAACCCACTCCTGCCCCCTGGCCCCGTGGTCGTGAACAAAGTAAATCCAAACAAACAAAAGAAACCCACGCCTGCCCCCTTGGCCCCATGGTCGTGAACAAAGGAAATCCAAACAAACAAAAGAAACCCACGCCTGCTCCCTCTGGCCCCATGGTCATAAACAAAGGAAATCCAAACAAACAAAAGAAACCCACGCCTGCCCCCTAGGCCCCGTGGTCGTGTACATTATGAAATAACCATCTGATCAGCATTGCTCCCCTGATCCACTGGGCGCCTCCTCCGTGTCTTCCGCCGTTGTAGTCTATCGGCCCTTTCTCGCCGGGTCGTGCTTTCTGGCGTGCGCCGATTCATGTTGTACGTCCCTTAGTACCATTTCTCCGCATACCGTGCAAGGTCGTCTTGGTCTGGGTTTCACCGGTTTCTGCGTCGGTTGGCTCGTGGGTAGGTTAAGGTTAGCTCCGATTACCTGGGCGGCGTCTGGTTGTTGGGTACCGTCCTGGTCTCTGGCCATTACTGGTTTCCCCTTAAGCTCTTGCGGCCAGTCGTCCATCCACCGAAGGAGTTCTCCTTGCCTTTTGTTGTCGTGGAGCCCGACCGTCGTGGTGGTCATTACCCCGCATCTGTTTGCTAGGTGGTCAAAGGTGATTATGTCCCAGCCGTATGGGCATTGCCTCCTGGCGCTGGTTATCTCCTGGTATGGCCAGCCCGCCATTGCCCTTAGCCCCAGCAGTCTTTTGAAGTCCTGCCTGGTCAGGGAAAACAGGTGTTTGTGCCATTTACCGGGTCTTCCTTGATACCTGGTGCCTTCGTTGGTGACTCTTTCTGCCCAGTCCTGTTGCAATTGGTTTTTGAGTGCGTCTTTGCCTAGCTGGTAATTACCGGTGGTGGCGATAATGTCTTCTGCCCCGTGTTTGGTCATCCACCTCCTTGTCCAAGTGTTGTGGCGGTCCTTGGTGGCGGCTCGTAGCGCCAGCAAGTTCTGTCTGAACTGCATCATGATGTCCAGTGGTGGGATGCTGAGGTCGGTAAGGAAGGCCAAGACCGGTGTTTTCTTTTCCAGTCCGAAGGCGGTCCGGACTATCTTGTTGAGGGCTGCTTGCGCTTCCCTTATCAGGCCTTTGTTTCCCCATGTCTCTATCCCGTATGTCAGCTGTGGGATTATCAGGCCCTTGATCAGCCGCAGTGTCGTCCCCGCATTCAGTCCCCCTTTGCTACATCTGGATGTTACGACTCTTATGCGGTGCCCAGAGCTGGTGGCTTTGTTGATCCAGTGCCTGACATGGTGGTCCCATTTCCATTTGTCTGTTAGGAAGTATCCGAGCCATCTTAGATAGCTTTGACCGGGTACTTCTTGGCCCCGCAAGCGGACTTCGAATTTGTTCTGCGGTAGTATCTGTACGAAGATCGTTTCGGCTTTGCTGGATGTGAACTCATACCCGTCTTCAGCTGCGGTTGCCTCAAGTCCCCTAATGGTTTCCTGGTGTATCCTTTTTCCCTCTTTCACGTCCCGGTATGTTGTTGCTATCAGGATGTCGTCCACGTACATCAGGACCTTGGTTTCCGCTTTCTGGGATGGGGTTGCCTGTACTTTTGCTGTTTCTAGCATGCTGATTAGGAAAAGTATTGGTGACAGGGGGGAACCCTGCGGTGTGCCCTTGTCAGTGGCATATCCCCTAGATGTTCTGCCGTTGAACCGGTAGCTGGTCGTCCTGTCGGTGGCCCAGTGCCGGACCCATTGCGCTAGGTGGCCTGAGTGCTTTCCCAGCCTGTCGCATACCTTACCCATTTGTAGGTGGTCAAATCCTCCTTGGACGTCGAGGG